CCCCCTCCCCCCCCCCCCCCCCCCCCCCCGCCCCCCCCCCCCCCCCCCCCCCCCCCCCCCCCCCCCCCCCCCCCCCCCCCCCCCCCCCACCCCCCCCATTCCATCAGTTTAATGACTAGAAAATCAAGAGAAATATGACTATTATTACCGGAATTTGATCTCAGAAGCTGTCGCGCTGAGCAATTTTTCATTCCCAATCTAAAATAAGGGGTAGATACAGCTCCCTGGTCCTAATAAGAAGAGTTGCAGCATGATCCTAGGTCAGGCGAAGCTGGCGAGTATGGCAGTTGAATACGGGCTTCGGGTTGACGCGGCGTTACTAATAGAGGTCGCTAATCATTTGGTATTATGGCTCCAACACATACACTCATAGACAAAATATAAACAAAAACAAATACACGCCTGTTGTGAATGCTATGCTTTGAAACTGTAGTGTCATATGCATGTCAGGAGAAGTGTTCCACCCAGCCTGCCTCTCCAATAGCGGAACGCTATCAACATAGCAAATAGAGTGTAATCATTAAGATACTGTAACACATCGCCGTGCTATTGAATGCATGATCCTGTCATAATTGAGCCGTTTTTGGCCTGTAGTCAGTCCAGTGAGGCAGTGCAACTCTATACACAATACCCCCCGCCCTTTACAATTGATATCCTCATCGCTTCCAATTGAGCCTCCCTAAACACCCGATGAAACCGATGGCAAACAGGGTATATATAAGTTTTAGACTTTGCCCCATACCTAACGCCTTGCAATGCTGTGAAAGACCGCCGAGTTCCCACTCAGCCCATCAAGCCGCATGAAACTCTTGCACTGTAGCAGCAACTGCTGGGAAAAGATCCTCAAGCGTGCCTAGCCACGCCGTTTGTCACCCTGGGCCTGGGGCGATCATCCCGCCTGCCTCTGGCCTTGTGTCTACACGTCCAATCCTTCACCACGGACCGGAACTGGGCCGTCTCCTCGTCCCCGAGTATGCGGTCGTCGTCCCCGAGGCCGCTGGTCTCGCTGAAGAACTTGTGCGCCTGGTCGACCGGGTCGGAGGGGACCACCCACATGCTCTCGCGCATGCGCTTGTGCCGCTCACGGTCCTCCTCGATGCGCTGCTCTATCTGGCGCTTCGTCGGCTTTATGGAGGCGCCGTCGCGCTGCGCGGGTGGGGCGCTGCCGCTGCCGGCGCCGGCGTCGGTGGCGGAGGCCGGGGCGGCGGACTGCTCGTGGCCGTCCACGGGGGAGGAGAGGCTGAAGTCGTTGGCGGAGGTATCGCGTTCTTTGAGGCAACCCTCGATCTCCAATACCGTTTGTTCGAGCAGGATGCACTTGCCCTGGAGACCATGGAGAACCTGTAGACGGCGCAACGAGTCAATCCATATTCTGCTATGATTCTATCCGCAGCGCTTAGACTGTACCTTGCGGACGACCTTGACATTTGCTGCGCCGGATCCATTTTCTGGGCACACTGCATCGACGACTCTGATAATGTCCCGCTGCATCATGCGTACATATTCGTTGTGTCTTTCTTTTGAGGCCATCTCCAGCAAGTGCTCGATAAAGTACATTATATTGGCTCGCGTGTTCATGTTGGTCTGTTGGGGGAAAGAGGCCGGTCAGCAATTGGCTGTCTCATCCAGCAAGCTTGAGCAAGATCAGGCTGATCATGGATGGGGATGGTTGGACAGCGACGGTTTCACCTTCTCGAGTTGTTCTAATATGCACGAATGCAGGTCCTCGTCCATGTCCTTGTATCTGAGCGCATACTGAGCTGCCTTTTGCGCCGAAGTGGTACTAGCATTCAGGTGTTCAAGCTGCGAGCTGAAGCGCATGCGTACTTCGAAAGGATCGGCCATCGTGTCGGCGGCATCCGGCTCGTCTCGTCTGGTGTATAGTACTCGGCTCGGCCGTGTGTCGCGGGCTGGAGAAGGCTTTCTGGTCGACGGTAAGTCCGTATGTACCGAGTACGTACTTACATGGAGTTGAGTAAGTACGTACGTACCCGGCCAGCAACTTCTCAGCCCCCCGGGGAGATCCCGACGCGTCTGTGACGCTACGGAAAAACGGGAGCACTTGTGTAACAATAGTGGGGGCGGACAGGGACCACGCAAGCCAAGAGTTCCAGCAGAATTTTAGGGCGATGCAGAGCATATCCACATTTGGGCACCAACCTTGCACGACTAAGCCCCGATAGGGCTAGTGGGAATACTGACAGACGAGTTTTAGCCAAAACGGAAGTCCCACAGAACTTCTCGAAAAATGTCGGCGCGTTCTCGGTCTCCAACGCTCCCTAACGGAAAGGAGAAGCTCAAGCGTTGGGATTAGGTATTATTAGGTATCAGACGAATTAAGACCGGAAGACAGCTTTGATAGAGAACTAACACCGTTACGTGTCTACGAAACATCGGAAATGGACTGGCTCGGGGCTTTAAGGGATTGCTGGCAATCTCCATGTCATGCGACTCCCGTCTTCCCGTCCGTGTGTATAAAGAAGTGACCGCCCGTCTCAATATTGTTTTCTCTCCTAGTTGCACAGCGACGGGGACTGGTATACCTATACCTGCCTTCTGCCCTTGATTGTGATTTCTGTTGCCCATCATTTTCCGAGGTCACTCAATTTGGGCGCCCCCGCAAAAAACCAATTCTCTCCATTC